AAACTAGGTGATTTAGATTTATTTTTTTGTTTGTTTGTTTTCTGGAATTCTAGACTCAGAAACAAACTTCACAGACACTGAGGAAAGCCTGGACATAAATAGGTTTATTTTATATGTGTTATGTATTGGAACTTGTATATGATTGAAATCACAGAAGGGTTTCTATTGATTTCTAAAATGAGTTTGAAAATACCAATTTGAAAGATTGCTTCAAAGCAATCTTATATTTGTATAATACAAATATAGCTTAAGAAATATCTCTGTTAAAGTATATTATCACATTCAATTATATATCAAAACTGAATTGCCTTCATAAATTACAGATACTATTATTCTGTTTCAATGTAAATGTTTAGGCTACAAGAACTTTGAATTGAATAGTAAATTTTATCATTAGCTTAATGGTATAATCAAATAATATTATCAAATTTACACCAACAAGTAGAGGTGGAAAGATAATCCTTTTATATATGCAATCAATTATTGCAATCTAACTCCTTTTTATCTTTATATACTATGTTAGATAAAAATAACTTCTGAAAGTGAGACATATTCACAATTATGTTGCTAATTATAATCCTAATTGCATGTATGATATTAACCAAATGGAATCTTATATAAATTATATATGTAATTAATGTCACACCTATTTAAGAAAAAACCCAGTTTAGTTAGCACCTTGGAACTGGATAAACATGAATAAATATAATTACTTAGGGGTGCACATGCCAAAATATATTATTTCTCTCTTATTCTTAGAAGTTAATGTCACTAGATGCAAGCATTTAAAAATGCTGTCAAATTTAGAGAGTACACAAATATCCTAATAATTGACAGCTTAAATTTGTATTGAATTCAAGTAGTCAAGAAAAACTTGTTTTTGTAACCACCAGAGGGTGCCAGTGCCTGCAGCTTGGTTAATGTAATCTTTTCGTGATCTCTTGGTAGTGTGAACTTGGACATGGTCAAGCTAAAAATGTCTTAAGGAAGAAAATTAATAATTTCTAAAGAAATATTTTTGCATGATAACACCTAATTATGTTGGACACAATAGAATTAGTTTGTATATTTTTGGTTATGATTAATTTAACAGGATTTTACTCATTTCTGAATCAGAAACTAAATGCATATCATGTTTAACAAACAATAAAAAGAGCATTACAAAGCTGTTATCACCAGCAATTTATTTAGCACCGTATACTTAGCACCAGAATAGATATTGATAGTAAACTGTAATTGCAAAGTTATAATGAGGGTATGGTGGTTATAACTAATTTTCAGCACCATTAACCATGAATTGTTAAATAGAAGGTTTTGATTGACTTGTCCCTAGTCAAAGTGGCAGCATGATATGATTTTTAAAAATCATTTTGCATATGTTTAAATATTACTTCTCCCACATACATAGGGACAACAAACAAAAATACATATATATCTAACTAAGAATGTTAGACATTGATAGAAACCTAAGCTTAATCTCTAAATATTTTCATTATAGCCTTTCATCCCTGTCAAGATTTGCATCCTCTGGTACTTGAAACCTAGGGCATGGATTATACAAGGGGAGAATCTGGACCAAGGACTTAATGCTACATTCCTTCATGGACACATTCAAATTATCTGTTCAGCTTGTTCAGGATTGTATATTAATTTAATTTACAGGACGGGACCATAAAGCACTTAAACTGGCCTAAATGTGAATTGGATTTGCTTTTATAGCTCTTGTAAGTTTATTTAACACAGCATGTATTACTGAGAAAAATGTACATTGTTTTAATTCAAATAATCTGAGTAAATTGTATTGGTTCCACTTGCCATACTGTCTGGCCAACTCTGTGCTAAAGCTGAATGAATGTTTCCAGGAAGGTTTTGGATGAACATTATATCTCTGTCAACTAAATTTGGTATGTCAGTTGAATGGATCACAGAAGTAATGATGCTCAGACTACTGAACAGAAGCAATGATGACAATAATAACAATCTCTTTACCACATTTTAGAAGCAAGCTTATTTATCACAACCAGGAGCATTAAAGTTGTGTCTTCACGACTCGCATATAATTCTACAAAGAAATTCATTTAACAGCTAAGAATAATAGTGTTTCCAGTCTTTTGAAACCAAAGAAATCTATATTGAATCAGAATTGAGGGTTTTTTTCCTGCATAAAAGTATATGAAATATTGTATTATAGAGAGGACCAAAGTTAATCGTATGCCAATTACTATTCTGAATGAAGCTTTTTAAAATGAAAACCTTAGTATTGACTATTTGAAGCCACTTTACGAACACAACAACTTATATCCAGATCCTTTCTGCCTCTGGACATTACAGTGAGGAACAGCTAGCTCTTTTAGCACCATTGTTGCAAGCTGCGAAGACATAATACACTCCTCATACTGGCCAATTGCCATTGGCTTTAGCTGGAAAATAAAACTTTTCACATGTTCATTTTATATTAGTAACTTTTAAAAATAACAGAATAAAAATATACCCGTTATCTTTTCAGCTGAGTTGTTTATAAATAAATGTATCTCTATCTTGTAAGTTGGACAATACTGTCATGTAAGTTATAAGTGTGTAGGCCAGCCTCTTAATCTGATACGTTTGATAATTTATCTGGACTTTTGATGCATCAAAACCTTGTACATCAGATACTTTTTATCATAATAAATCATGGAATGGTGAGATTCCTCTAATCTGTTGCAATTCTAGACTTTTTAGTTAAATAAAAAATGCATTTATATAAACATTTATTATGTAACAGCTACTACATGCTACATAAAAAGCTGAGCTAAATACAAAGAAGACTCATACATAATTTCCACCAAAAAGTAGCTCATGAAAAACTTAATTTTTTCTCAGGTAAAAGTTAGCAATGATGATGATAATTTGATTATTCATAAATTTATATTTATGTCAATTTAACCTTGGTAAGAACCTCTGTGGAATGTGTAGCAAATATTACTTTTCTTCAGAACTGAGAAACATGATAATCTGTGTTTATACTTTTGCTGCTACTGCAGAACAGTCATAGCAAAGTGAGTGTGGAAATACTTTCAAAATCAATCAAGCAACTATCTCATTATAAGAGATTTCTTTCCGGTTGTCCTGATATGTTAGAGAAATGTTAGATAGGAACATGAATCACATTATTTACTTCTGCTCTCCATTTTATTTTCTAGAAACACTTGTTTTCAGTAAAATTAGCATATGCACCTACAAAAGCAGACTAGTATGATATAAAAACATTTGTGAACCATATTCAGTTTGCAAAAGGAATCAGGCCAATTGTTTGTCATCATGTAAACCTAAACTCCAGATGGTAGATTTTCCTTCATTGAGTGGATTTAATTAATGATCTGTTATCTTTCAATGCATCCATAGAGAAACTGCAGATATGTGGGGAATTTTAAGCTAGTAACTTCCTTTTGTCATTTGCATTCTGGAACTAACCACATTTACCTGTTCTGTAACTTTGGGGAAGCATACATATCCTTAGTTACACATACAGACATAACACACAATTAATGTGTCTTCAGATGTTGAATTCTCCCCTGTAAAAGTGATTTCATGAATGAAGAAGCATCCAGAATCACAAGTGGCCTTATCATACTGGCTTTGACTTGATATCCATAATCAAATATAATGAAGAATTAAAATCATTCTTCTATATATAGAAGTAAAATTTTATTATTAATCCTTAGCTATCATCAATAGAGAGTGACATGAACAAAGTCACAGCAGGTGTATATACAGGATCTTTACTGATGCTCAAAGACACAAGATGATCAGATTGACTTTAACTGGATGAAGATAAGCAAAACAATGAAGTGCTGGTGTGTCCTTTGCATCTCACGTATTTCTTTTTGGCATCATTCACCTCCTGCTGACAGACCTTAAGAAACACCAGTTTCCCAAGGTAGGGGAATTGCAGCTCTCCACCAGTTTTTCAGGTTTTGTTTTTTTGTGGAGTGAGCAGTATTTCTACTTCTGTAATAGTTCACACCTGTCTCTTGAATCTCACTTCTTATGGGTTTTATAAGTTTTCTTAGGGTCTTGCTTTCTGCCCTGAAAAGTCACTTCTACTAATCCAGGAATCTCCAGGCAGTTGATAATTCTTCCCTTCCTCTTCCTATGACAAGCACTGCAGCTACATTTTATGCTAATTAGAAGTTATTACAGTGTGACTTGTTGCTTGTTTCATCTATAGTTGAACACTGAAAAAAATAGTAACTTCATAGAAAAATCATCAGGATGCATTATTCCTGAACTAGTTGAAGGCAGAAATTATGGCTCGATCTTTTTGCATTATCAGAACATAATTGGCTGATTGCCTTGCACATAGTAAGCAGTGGCCATATGATTACTATTTCAATAACAGGAGATTAAACCAAAGCATGATTTGAAACTGATAAAAATTGAGCATATCCTTTGGTAAACCCAAAGAAGAGATGATATCTCCAGAATGATATCCATGTTTGATATAATTAATGTTATAATTCAACTATTGAATATAGATACTGCTGAGTTTTTCTTGCCATTTATCATTTTGGAGGTATTATAGAAATGGGTGCTGAAGATGTCCTACCATCTCATATACATTTTAGAATATTTTTGTTAATTTCCCTCATAATAACTACTGAACCATGTTATCTATATTTCATCATCTTTTATACATTTGCAAATTTGTATGTGTATGCATCTATATATATGACTCTTCAGGGAAAACTTAATTTTTTTGAAAAGCAAGTTTTGAAATGGTATGTAACAATTATGACAATACTACGTAACAATGCACTAACAGGCTTAGAGAGCAGAAAATAGATAAGGGTACTATCTGATTATTTCAAATGTTTAACAAACACGCTAGACAAATACTCAAATATACAATGAATAATAAAAGAAAACAAGATTATCATCAAATATGTATAATCTGTGCAAAACTCAATATATATATATAGATATAGATATAGACATAGATGTATTTATAAGTCTGTGAGTCCCAGAAACCACTATATTTCTTGGAGGAAAAGGTAAGCTTATTTAAACCAGTACAGGTAGTTTGATGTTACTCCTGGAAAACAAAGATTATCAGTACAAGATCCCCCGTAACTTGGAGGGCAAGCCGAACATGGGACTCCTACTTTATATGGTGCTTCTCCAATCCAATTGCCTCTAGAAAAAAAAAAAAAAAAAAAAAAAGGAGGGGTGATATTGCATTATGCTACTAACCCATTTTATTTTTTAAGATTTATTTATTTATTCATACAGAGCTGGGGTATAGGCCAGAGATGTGGAAGGTGAGAGGATTCACAAGGGACAGAGTGGGGAGCAGAACAGGCAGATCGAGGAAGTGCACTGCTGAGGGGAGCAGTGGGCAGGTCAGGAGAGGTCTGCCACGCCATGTGGCTCTCCTCTTGGACAGGCGGGAATCGAACTCATTTGGAAGTGGCTTAAGCTTCTTAGTGCAGTGCTTTAACCCCTGCGCCACCAGGGAGGGCCTTGCTACTAACCCATTTTTTAAAAATTAGATTACCCTTAAGCACATGATCACATGGATTGATGTGCTCTTTTTTTTTTTTTTTTTTAAAGATTTATTTATTTGTGCATACAGAACTGGGGTACAGGCCAGAGACTCAGGGGCAGTGAGAGACTTCACCAGAGACAGAGTGGGGAGCAGAACAGGCAGATGGACGAAGTACACTGCTGAGGGGAGCAGCGGGCGGGTCAGGAGAGGTCTGCCACGCCATGTGGTCTCCTCCGGGGCAGGCGGGAATTGAACTCATGCGGAAGTGGCTTTAGCTTCTCAGTGCTGTGCTTTAACCCGCTGCGCCACCAGGGAGGGCCTGATGTGCTCTTTTTAAGAAGCTTGTCGCTTTACTTTTAAAAATTTATTTCTTTTTAATGGAAATAATAGTGGGGTACCCATCAGGTGTTACCACCCTAGTATACCCACCACCAGCTTATCCATATTCCACTACCATAGCCCATTGTGCTTCTCTTCTCTTTGTGCTGCTCCCCACCTTGGTGCTTCAGTGCTGTAAGTCAGCTATACCTGTTAACTTAGTTACTTTATATTTCACAAATTAATGACACCATCTGGTATTTATCTTTTTCCTCTGATTTATTTCATGTAGCATTATCCCTTCTGGCTCCAGCCATAGAGGTGCTTATTCCACTCACCTCATCTCCTTCCTGGAACAGTCCTTCTAAATTGCATAGTCAGTTTTTACCTTTCAAAAACTCATGCTAACACTATTGTAAGGCTGATGATTACATTATGTATATATGTATATATATATACATATATATATATACGTATATACAAACATGTATATATATAATTTTATGTGAGGTATAAAATGATGAAAAACAACGATTTCATTATAAATATTCACAAGATATGTTTCTAAAGTAAAACATCTTAGGTTCTCAGTGTTCACAAAATGAGGAGGAGATATGGAACATTCCATTGCCATAGGAAGAAAAGAGTGATTTACTGACAGAAACAACTAAAGGTCATTTCAAAATATTTTCCCATATGTAAACTCATGGCTATTTTTATTTCTTAATGTTATTCTTTTTTAAATAACACTTAGTGCATTTAACTAAATTGCTTAGTATTGTCAGTGTTTTTTCTGTATCTCTACTGATGGTATAATCATAATCATACATTAAATTAGCTCATTAGGATAACTAAAAACAGGTACCATGACTTACTATTTACTGAATTATGAAGAAGATAATAACTATTTTCAGTACTATTATAAGAGCACTAAGAAAGAACAGTATAGTCAGCAATATGAAGGAAAGTAGAAAGAAGAAAGTATGGTTGTCATAATAAAAAGTCAGGGTTGAAAATAAGACAACTGTTAGTAATAGACTTAAATATCGAGCAAGTGGTCCTTGTCTTCTCTAAGACTTAAATAACACCCAAGGAGTAACTCACAAAGTACAAATAAAACACATGAAACTATCTGCCTCCATCAGATAAAAATGATTCTTTTATATATAAAGTATCTATAAAGGAAAATATAACTATAAATTAGTAACATTGATAAAAAATTCATATTACACAATGAAATGAGATTCCAAAAATGACCACATCTGCTTCATTTATTATGTACAGTGCCGTAAGATAAGCTTCTTTGCATTTAATTTGATGACACTACATAATTGCTTATTCAGAAACATACCAGCAGCTCATTTCTCTAACAGATCACTCCTTTACCCTGTATAAAGAACTTTTCTATCTCTCACTCTGTATAGCGAACCTTTTCCCTATCTTTACCCAGAACTACAACCATACTACTTAAATTTAAAAGTTTTCTATTTATTTTTACATACATTTTTGAGATTATAGGGCATACTTTTTTTAACAAATCAAAAGGTAATTTTATTGTAATTTTACTTATGCAGTGATATATATTAAGTATTATAAATTGTCACATAAGTCAATGATTTTACTGGATAGAAGATACTTATATTCAAAAGTAAATGTTATTTTTTTTGGCCTATACCATTTAATTTAATTCTCCTTTCCTGCCTCTATCTCTCACACTACCTTACCCCTCTGTCCCTACTTGTTTCCCTGACAAGCAGTTAGGTTTGGAGGGGCTACATATGGACACTGGAAGAGTCATAATAGCTATCAACCAGTATTTGAAAATTTCTTCCATTGCCTAAGTTTCAGAATAATGACTTTTTCTTATAATGAATATAACATGCTTATGCAATATCTAAATCTTGTGCACTTAAAAAGCAATCAGGTACTCAGAAATACTACAAATTGCTAACCCTGGCTAAGAACAGAAAAGTTAAATGACTGAAATAAATATATCTTTCACCATTTGGGTACTACTTGGCCTGTTTATGTTAGGAAGAAAAGTAAAGGACAAATGGGAAAATAAGCATGTGAAACTAATTATGAAACAAATGCACTAGTTTAAATTGTTTTCATAATGTAGACATACTCTCTCCATTTTAGTAATTATGAAGAGAGAAACATAAGGAAAATCATTAGTTTTCTATCTTTGCAAAAGCACTGCCCTGGCATACTATCATCTAAATGAGTAATGCAGTTATTTGTGAAACGTTTTCTCATTCCCCCTCCCTATGCTGGCAAAGCTGGAGAAAATCTTTGGTACTCACTTTGGAAGACACTAATCATGTCATAAATCCTCTGCACATTTTGGTATTTATTACAAGTGGGAATAGATTCGTGTATAAATACTGGGACATTTTATCATCTGAAGAGTTGTTATTAAGAGGACATTTTATCAAATGTCTACACACTTCTATCTGTATATTACAAAGAAAACTCGTAAATATGGTTTTATTTTATAATCTTTGATAAACTTTCATAATGTATTTTTATGTATGCCATGGGATAAAATTAGTGAATAATTTCTCTACTGAAATTTAGATCACAAGGCTTTAATTTAAAAAAGAATTCACATTCAAATTATCCTTGCTAGCAATGAATCATCTATGAAATGAGAAAACTATACTTTTTAATTTTACAATCTGGTATGACAGATGAGAATACTGCAGTACTAATAAATTCCCTAGAAGAGTCTTTTCTGTTACCTTCTGAACTATGAAAAGTTTGAATATACATAATTTATGATTACCATGATTCAAGAAAAATAGGAAAATGTAGTGAATTTCCATAGCTCAAGTTGTTATAGCTAACATTTTAGCCTAAAAGCCCTGGCCTTGTGTAAAGAAACCTTGCGGCTCATCGGTTTTTAAGTAGTGGATGAGGCTTGAGGCTCAGAGGTCTTCATAGCTTGGTTTTATTCCTATTATTTACCTGTTAAAAATATCTACCAACTGAAGGTAATGATCATCAAAAAAGACTGAGGAAGTAAAATCAAAACTGATACTTACTTGGGAGCATAGTTGCAAACCAAATAAACTGCCCGCCGCCATACAGAACCCCAGACATTCATGTTTTGGCAAGTGTGAATTGCACATCCTATCCTATTGGAGGTGGCCCAAACCATCTGTGAAAAGAAACCAATATTCCATTGTTGGAGTCAGAACTAAGAAAATGCATCTTTGACAAAACATTCAGAACATTTTAAAGCTATGCATAAAAAATTAAGACAATTGAAATAACCTGGGTATAATGAGTGCACATGGGGCCAAAGCATCTCATAGGACATCTGGGGTTGCAGTCTTGGGGATACGGGAAAGCATAATCTTTCACTTCATCGTACCATGGTTTGACCAATTGGAGAATAGAGCGATATCTAGATACCAAGAAAAATAGTGGGAACTTAGAGTACAGCAGTGGTAATATCTGGTGGACTTGTTCAAAACTATAAATTAAGTATTCTTTTTGTGGATTATTCATGTTTATCCAAGAGTATATGCATCATCATAAGTACCATCACTCCCTTAATGCAGTCCTTTGTTTTCCCAAGTAGTGCCAAGCATTAAAATGCCCCACTCTGGAATAAGAGATTCTGAGTTTAAGGCTATGTCAATTTACTTAAAAAAAGAAATGCAGTTATTTCAGCAATCGTCATTTATATCTTATTGATGCATGTCAAAAGTTTGTTCTGTGAGAATTTTCTGGTACAATTATTATACCATTATACCAGTCAAATTAGGTATACAAATGTAGTCACAATTCTAGAAGTCAATGCATTTTTTCCTTAAATTTGAACGACTATAATAACAGTATACCTGATTTTCATCTTCCATGTGGAAGAGAATAGGTCTTTGAAATGTTGGAAAGATAGTTCACAGAGGTAGAAGAAATATCCTATTAATAGGAACAGGTTTTCCCTGTTTATCATTGCATAAATTTGCAACATTATATATATATATATATATAGAAAAATATAAAATTTAACTTGCATTATACATACACATATAATATGCATAAATACATGTGTACATTATATACCACACTTGCAGAGATATGCAACTGTAGGAAACGCATATGTACAAGAATGACATCTGAAACAGTCAGGGTTTTTCTGAGTGCAGGATAAAAGAAACACACTTTCAACATCTTGTGATTTAAGTGAGGAATACAATCAAGCAAAAGTGTTCCAAAGTTAACAGGGAAAATGGTCTTTCTAGGTTCTTTAAATCATTAAATAATCCTTTCATACATAATAAATAGTCCTGGCCAAATGTCAGTACCTGACACACAGCACTCAATAAATATTTGCTGATATTACTTGAAATATATGTCACCATTGTGTAGATAAAGGACATCAGAAAATCTGTTTCCTACCTTCCAGTGCGCACAGATAGATTTTGGCCCAAAAATCTCAGTAAATAAGAAGGTCCGTGGTCCCAAATGCAAGTAGCTGCCCAAGCCTCTGCAGATTTTGCAAGATTTTCATCCCAAACCTGTGAAGGGGTAAAAACATTCAGCTGAACCAGGTTTGCTAATAACAAACAAAAAATAAAAGGACAGAAATAATGGTTATGTTTCCTAAAGTTCTTTCAATTCTTATTTCTGAGACCATTTTAACTTAAAAAAACCCAAAAAACTAAGACCATTATTACTCAGTAATGCATAAATGCATGTGCATAGATACAAATATATGTAAATAATAATAATGATAATGATTATGTAAATTTCTGCATAATAATGGTCTTATTTTATTGAACTAATTTTATTCAATATTATGCAATTCATTATGACCTTTGTAAGCAATGTGATTATACTACCAAAGCAAAAACTTAGTGCCAAATAGATTCACAATTCAGATGTCAACTTTAATAAAGAGTAGGCTAACAAAAATAACGTGTGTAGATGTAATTTGGGGATACCTTATATTGATCACCTTATATTGATACCTTATATTGATTAAATTTGAATCCCTCAAAGTCAATTGATTTCCTAAATTTCATCTTCATAGCAACAAAGAGCCATACCATTAATATACCTTAAAAATTAGATCTCCCCCAAGAGACTGCTCCCCTAACTAATAGCTGGTAAAATAAGAAGTGTGTTCAATGTCTCTAAAACTCCCCGCATCTCAGTATAAAATAGAAAAATATGATGCATATGTGAAATTTATGAACTTTCACATGTTGAGAAATAAGAGGTTAATATCAAAACTAACCAAAAAGTCAACAACAATATAGAATTTTAAAAATGAGCAGAAGGAACTAAACAGACATTTCTCCTAGGAAGATGTACAGATGGCCAACAGGAAAATGAAAAAGTGCTCAACATCACTTATTAGGGAAATCAATCAAAACCACAATGAGATAATATCTCACACTTGTGAGACTGGTTGATATCAAAAAGCCCAGGTAAGTGTTGGCAAGGATGCGTAAAATGTTGGTGGGTATGTAAATTGTTACAGCATATGCAATACAGTATGGAGGTTTCTCCAAATAATAAAAAGAGATCTACTGTATGATTAAGCAATTCTATTACTAAGTATCTACCCAAGAATATAAAAACACTAATTTGAAGGGATGTATCCACCCTATGTTCTTTGGAGCACTCTCTAGAATACCCAAGTTATGGAAATAACTTACTGATCTTCGATTTAGACAGAAAAAAGTAACCCAGGAACAACCTTTGCCCCAAACCTGCTTACAATAAAATTACTAACTGGGATGATTGCTCAGTCTTCAGCAATGGAAAATGCCAAATATATCAATATCTAGACTAACCGATTGGACTATAGATAATTTATTCATCTTAGCAGCTAGAGAATGAATACTTATTGGGAGATAGAGAATAATAAGCAAGGCTGATGATGATCATTCCTTACAGTTTAGGGGAGATATAGGAAATAAAATGTCTACCAAATAATTGCATAATTAAGTATTATAATACCTAATAAAATACATTATTATCTATTATGTAAAGAAACTCCAAAGTAGTTAAAGGCTGCTTCTTTAAAATGTTCTTAGTCAACCAAGTATATTCACAAATAAACATTGTTCATGTCATTCATTATAGGTATTTATAGCTCATCCCCATGTATTGTCTTTAAAAAAAAGTGCTGAATGAGTATCCAAGTGAATTTTGTGATGATACAGAAACAATCACTGGGATAACTCATTTTTACTTATTCTGTCAAGATTTTCAGCATATAGTCTCTTGACAAATAAGTGAGATATATATTTTACAGAGCTATGTTTCATGTCCTAAGCCATAACCTAAGATAATTCTTAGCACACAGTGTAAAGTTCTTACCTGACAAATAACTCCCAAACCTCCTAGAGAACTTTAGAGACAGGTAGCTAGTCTAATTATACAACTTCCAAATTATAATTTCTACATTGGGGGCCTTTCATGTATACTTGCAAAGTGATTCTGTGCTCTCCTGGTTAATAATAATTTATTAAAACTGTATTTGATTACTCCATCATTTTGATTGAAGGTAACTTTGGGACTCTTCTCTCCTCCCCCCAGCCCTACTGACCTCCTCTCTCCTTATATACTTATGCATTACATGGAAGGCTTAGGAAGAAGGGGACTTTTCTGTAGTTAATATATAATAGTCACTTATAAGCACTTGCATCAGTATTCTTCCTTTTAGTTTCACTCTGTTACTGATCCAAGTTTTGATAAAAAACAGCAAGAACATGTTTTGTTTTCATAGAGATGCCAATCTCGTGAAGATGTTTGTTCTTTGTATTCATAGAAGACAGAATTATGGGTGGAAGAGGTAGAGGAATTGTCTTGTGTGTTGCTCTACAAATAGACCAATATTATTTGAGGGTGACAATCACAGGGGAAGGCAATATTTATTTTGAGGATGACAATCACAGGGGAAGGCAATATGTTACATGGATGTGAACACAGAATTAACAGATAGTTTTCATCGTGCTTACTCAGAGGTCATGGTGATTCTAGATGACTGTTAGCTGACAGAAGTAACATGCTGGAGAAATACATATATATACCATTCTGAAAATCTAAAATGTTGAGAAAAAAATTTAAAAATATGCAAAAGCAAGGTAATCCCTTTCCATAATAATAGTATCAAGTCTGTAAGATACACACCTGACCTATTAGCAACTTATTTCTTGAATAATGATATGGCCTAGCAAGAGTATGTGCCAGAATCTGCCAACACAACTTTAGGTTGCATCCCCAGGAGAATAAATGGAGAATAATTTGTCGCTGCTACTCGGCAGTGGTCAGGTGACATCACATACATATTGGACTCCAACCAGGGATAACAACTGGGTGAAAGGCATTCCTTATAGCCACACACTGCTTCCAGTTTCCAAGGTAAACTCATTGGCTCCATTCATGTACATGTATGGTTTAAGGGCTGGGGAGCTTCTTATCTTTTCCAGGATTTTTGGAAAGTAACCAATCTTTGTGCAACCTTTCCTGTTAACACTCAAGATACGAAAGGTGAGGTGTATAGGGATTTAATATCGGAGTTCTGGAGGTTAAGAAAGACTTGGGTGGTTGAAAGACAGAGGTCTAAAGCATAGTCACAGCCTTCAAAGACTTGGCTTAATATTATAATGCAGAGTTTTCCGATATTATTAGGCCCAAGATTTTATTCCACATGAAGAAATGCTTTTTAATGTTCAGGGATATTCTCAGGGAAGGAAATTCTCAGCTAATAGGCTTAAGAGCCTATTAATTAAGAATTCATGCGCATCATTTTGATATACTTGCTCCATGACATGCAAATATACCTGTAATCTCCAAGCTCTGGATTTCCTGTCTCTAAATGAGGAAAATTGTCCTCATCTCTCAAGACAAAAGGAGATAGTGAATGTAGAGTACTGAGCACCGTTCAAGCTGGGGGAAAGGGGCAGGTGGGGGAACTATACTTAATAGTGAACATTACTTTTATTGAAAATCCATGCACTGTGGTGGTAGTGGTGTCCTGAACTAGAAAACCTCCTGCAGTGAGAAGCAGAATGAGGTGCACTTTTGATCCTGTTATCTGACAGCCTGAAGTCTAAGAAATAACAAGCTTTAATCTCAATTAAGCAAACAATCAGATAAAGTGCAAAAAGATAAACCCTGAAGCAAATAAATAATCAGGAACAGAATTGTATATAGATAATGAGCTCAGCAGGATGGGACAAGGGGGAAAGGTAACATCCACTGGAAGATAAATATAAGAAAACATTTGGCAAGTTTAAAATCTTAAATCCTTTAACAAGCTTAATCTTCAGATTTTAAGGCCATTGATTGATGGAGTATAACAACAGTTCTCTTTTCCAGGGAACATAATACCCATCAGCTATTATTTAATATTGTGATTGAAAGCCAGAATGATATTCTCATATATATATATATATATATATATATATACACATACATATACATATATATGGTCATATATATATATGGTTTTATATATATAGGGTTATATATATATGGTTTTATATATATATATGTATATATATATTTTACCATTACCAACTCAATATTACAATCATCTAAAAACTGATTTTTTATTGTCAGACTATCCTGTGATATGCATGTAAACTCCATATCTTGCCAATTCTCATTTGGTCAAAAGAATTCAAATGCCTTTCCGCCTACCTACTGCCTGCTGAAAACATGATCTTACTGGAATGCAGAGAGACAGATTTGGTTGAATGTTCATATTTTATGAAATATGAATTTGATGCACATTTTAGTAAAACAAAACAAAACAAAACAAAACCAAAATTGTGCCCTTAAGTAACATTTCCAGACTATTTCAGTTTGGAGTATGTAGTGTGAAATTTTAGGAGATTTCATGAAAAATTGAGTTTAAAAGCACATATTGTTAGACATCTTTCATATTCATGCCCCCAAATGCTCGATACCTGATTTTCTGACACTATGGGTAACACAGACTGGAAATATTCAAAGCCCATCTCTCCAAACCTCAGTTTAGTATATATTTTATGCCAAATATTTTTCTTGACCAGTTTTAAGCTGTTAGTTTTAATCTACCTTGCTCCCTTCCCCACACCTTTCAATGGAAATTCTCAAAAAAACAGATAAACATTTCAAGTTTATAGCTATTTAATGGCCATTGACTTAGTTTTAACTGACTTTCAGATCAACTAAATTCATGCAACCAGACCAATCAAAGTAGTCATTATCTAGTTTTCTGATGCCCTTTAATTAGTCCTGTCTCCCCCAACTCCCAATGAAGAACTTTTCAGAAGCTACCTAGGCTTCTGAAAAGGATTTAATTTGTGTTGATTTAAGAGTTAGTTCACATTCACATAAATAAATAAAAGATAAATGAGGGCCCTCCCTGATGCCACAACAGGTTAAAGCACAGCAATATGAGGTGGTCTGCTGCTACTGCCAATACAAGTTCAATTCCCAGCCAGCCAGGGAGCTAACCCACAAGGCTTGGCAGACCTTTCCTGATCAGCTCATTGTCCCCTCAGCAGTGCATTTC